ACGACGCTATATCGCTGTGGAGAGCCCGATCCAATATCTATATAACATCGCTGCGGCGTGCAGCCCGATCCATAAATATATAATATCGCTGCGGCGTGCAGCCCGATCCACATATATATATATATATATAATATCGTTGCGGTGTGCAGCCCGATCCATAAATATATAATCCTCACCACCAGGCCCTCGGCCTCTCTCAGTCATCAACCACACAATCAGACCCTCGGTCCCTCTCAGTCATCAGCCTCACAAGCCACTCGGGCTATCAGTAAAACAGGGTGCTCAGCCCAAAATATCATTTTATACATAAAAACAGAGTAATAGAGACTGAGTTATGAAATCAGAAAAAATGAAGCATGACTGAGTATAGATATTATACCAAAACAGTGAGGAAACAGTAGTAAAAAGCCCCTAAGGGTCCAAACAGTTGGCACAAGGCCCAAATATGGCATTCAGCCCATAACATAGTAATATTTCCCAAAACACAATGATATCAAACAATTTTCAATCAAATATGTGACTTAACAGTCACACTGGACGGACCAAGTCACAATCCCCAACAGTGCACAACCCCTCGCTCGTCATCTAGCGTATGTGTCACCTCAAAGTAGCATAACGATATGAAATCCGGAGTTTCATACCCTCAGGACAACATTTACAATCATTACTTACCTCGAATCGGACGAACATCTACACCGTGATGCCCTTGCCGCTCGACTTGGCCTCAAATCACCTCGAATCTATCCAAAATCAGAATCATATCATCAATACATGCCAAAGGGATAAAGCCCACGCGAAAATTATCAAATTAAACTCAAAATCCCGAAATTGTTCAAACCCGACCCCTAGGCCCACGTCCCGAAATCCGATAAAAATCACATCAATAGAATCCTTATCCTCCCACGAGTCCATACATACCAAGAACATCAAAATCGGACCTCAAATGGTCCCTCAAATCCCCAATTTTACCTCTTCAATTTCAAGCCCTAACTTCCCAAGTTTTTCACCTTTAATCCCATAAATTTCATGCTTAAACAATTGAAAATCAACATAGAATCGAGTTTTAGGTTCAAAAACCTTACCTCCAAGTGTTTCCCTTCAAATCCCTCTTCAATCTCTCTCAAAAAGCTTCAAGGCCGAGCAAAAAATGGTGAGAAATGGCCTAAAAATCGCGAAGGCAAGAAAATTTCTATGTTCTGCACAGGGGTTCCGCATTTGCGGTCCAATACCGCACCTGCGACAAAAATCCGCTTCTACGAAATTTCACTTAAACTCCTCATCCGCACTAGTGATCAAGCCACCGCATCTGCGGGCTCGCAGGTGCGCAATAACTTCCCCATATGCAATGCATGCCCAACCAACTGGCCTTCGCTGCTGCGATCAAAATGCCGCTTCTGCAGCTCGCACCTGCAGTCCCTAATCCGCAGGTGCGGTTATGACAGAAACTCAGCAGCTTCAGCTGCAAACTCTAACTTCCAAGCTTCCCGATAACCATCCAAAATTATCCCGAGGCCCCCGGGACCTCTACTAAAACTACGAACAAGTCATATACCACTATTCAAACTTGTACCAATCTTCGAAGCACTCAAAACAACATCGAATCATCAAAACACCCTCGAATTCAAGCCTAAGGATTCCAAAACTTCCGAATTCCGCATTCGATCAAAAAGTCTATCAAACCTCGCCCGAATGACCTAAAATTTTGCACACAAGTCACAAATGACACATCGAACCTACTCCAATTTCTGGAATTCCATTACGACCCCGATATCAAAATTCCACTACCAACCGGAAAACGCCAAAATTCCAATTTTGCCAATTCAAGCCTAAATCTACCACGCACCTCCAAATTACATCCGATCACGCTCCTAAGTCCCAAATCACCTAACGGAGCTAACTAAATCATAAAAATCCAAATCCGATATCATATACTAAAAAGTCAAAATTTGGTCAAACCTTTCAAATTTAAAGCTTCAAACTGAGAATTGTTCTTCCAAATCTATTCCGATTATCCTGAAAACCAAAACCAACGATTTACATAAGTCATAATACATCATACAGGGGTAGCCTTGCTCGAGAACTGGCGAGCGAAGTACAAATATTCAAAACGACCGATCAGGTCGTTACATTGAGTGATAGTGATTAAATAGTACCCTTAGTCTATATTGGCTTTGGTTTACGATGTGAGAGTAATGTCATGTCCTCGGGTGGGGCGGGAGGTGGGGTGCAAGGGTGGGAAGGGGGACAAGGTAGCTTCTAGGCTAAGAGTTGGGTCCTGGAACATAGGGATGTTAACGGGTAAGTCTATACAGTTGGGTAGGATTCTTCAAAGAAGGAGGATCAAAATAGCGTGTTCCAGGAGACCAAGTGGAAGGGTACTAAGGCACGTGATGTTAACGGTTATAACCTGTGGTACTCCGGAGATGCTGGGGGCAAGAATGGGGTCGGTATATTAGTCGACATGGAACTTAGGGAGCTAGTGGTCGAGGTTAGGAGGGTAAGCTATAGGGTGATGGAGGTTAAGCTTGTGGTTGGGGGGCTCAATTTTAATGTGATTAGTGCTTATGCTCCTCAAATAGGTTTGGGCGAGAAGGTCAAGAGGCAATTCTGGGAGGACTTGGACGAGGTGGTGCGTGGTATTCCGTGCACCGAGATGATTTTCATTGGAGGGGATTTCAATGGCCATATCGGGGCTAATGTCGGGGGTTACGATGATGTGCATGGAGGGTTCAGTTTTGGAGATAGGAACGAGGCAGGTACTTTGCCGTTAGATTTCGCTAGAGCTTTTGATTTGGTGGTAGTTAACTCGAGTTTTCCAAAGAGAGAGGAGCACCTGATCACTTTCCGGAGTACGATGGCCAGGACCCAGATAGACTCCTAGTTATGGATCTGGGGATCAGGAGGAATAGAAAGAAGAGAGCAGTGTGCAATCAACCTAGAGTCAAGTGGGGAAACTTGACTAAGGACAAAGCCCAAGAGTTAGGGGAGAGGTTGCTGGCGATGGGGGCCTGGAAGAGTAGGTGGGACACGACTGCGATGTGAGCCATGACAGTGAACTGCATTAGGGAAGCTGCGAGAGAGCTTTTAGGGGTTACAAAGGGATACCCTGGGAGACGTATAGGGGATTGGTGGTGGAATACGGAGGTCCAAGGTAAAGTTGAAGTTAAGAAAGCGGCTTATTTGAAACTAGTGGAGAGCACGAATGAGGAGGAGAAGAGGACGAATTGGGAATGTTATAAGAAGGCAAAGAAAGAGGCGAAGTTACGGCGGCTAAGACTGCGGCCTTTGGACGCATGTATGCGGAGCTTGGGAGCAAAGGCGGGGATAAGTAGTTGTATAGGCTAGCCAAAGTGAGGGAGAGGAAGGCTCGTGACTTGGAACAAGTAAAGTGCATCAAAGACGAGGACGACAGGGTATTGATGGAAGACGCCCATATTAGACGAAGATGGCAGACATACTTCCACAAATTGTTGAACGAGGAGGGGGACAGAAGCATTGTGCTGGGTGAGTTGGAGCACTCTGAGAGTCTGCGTGATTTCGGCTATTGTAGGCGTATTAAGGTCGAAGAGGCTATCGGAGCGATGCGTATGATGAGCTGGGGAAGAGCGACTGGGCCAGACGAGATCCCGCTGGAATTCTGGAAGAGTGCGGGCCGTGCAGGCATGGAGTGGCTTACTGGGTTGTTTAATCTTATTTTTAAGACGAATAAGATGCCCAAAGAATGGAGGTGGAGTACGATGATTCCTTTCTACAAGAACAAGGGTGACATCCAAAACTGCAATAACTATAGGGGTATCAAGCTGCTGAGTCATACTATGAAGATTTGGGAGAGGGTGGTGGAAGTCAGGGTGAGGAAGAGTGTGTCTATTTCCGAGAATCAGTTTGGATTTATGCCGGGGCAATCGACTACGGAAGCTATTCATCTGGTGAGGAGATTGGTAGAGGAGTATAGAGATAGAAAGAAGGACCTACACATGGTGTTTATAGATCTAGAAAAGGCATACGATAAAGTTCCGAGGGAGGTTCTGTGGAGGTGTTTGGAGGTTAGCGGCGTTCCGGTAGCTTACACTACGGTAATCAAGGACATGTATGATGGTGCTAAGAATCGGGTAAGGACAATGGGAGGAGACTCAGATCACTTCCCAGTTGCACCAGTGATCGGCTCTCAGCCTGTTCTTATTTGCTCTAGCGATGGATGTGCTAACGCGACACATTCAAGGGAAGGTGCCATGGTGCATTTTATTTGCCGATGACATAGTACTGATTGATGAGACAAGGAGCGGGGTCAATGCGAGGCTGGAGGTCTGGAGGCAGACCCTAGAGTCTAAGGCCTTCAAGTTGAGCAGGACCAAAATGGAGTACTTGGAGTGTAAGTTCAGTGACGGGACTCATGAAGCGGACGTGGATATGAAGCTTGATACCCAAGTCATCTCGAGGAGGGGTAGTTTCAAGTATCTCGGGTCTATAATCAAGGGTAACGGGGAGATTGATGATAAGGTCTCCCACCGTATCGGTGTGGGGTCGATGAAATGGAGGCTCGCATCTGGTGTTTTGTGTGATAAGAAGGTGCCACCAAGACTCAAGGGTAAGTTTTACAGAGTGGTGGTTAGACCAACTATGTTGTATGGGGCTGAGTGTTGGCCAGTCAAGAACTCCCATGTTCAGAGGATGAAAGTAGCAGAAATGAGGATGCTGAGATAGATGTGTGGGCCTACCAGGAGAGATAAGATTAGGAACAAAGTTATTCGGGACAAAGTGAGAGTGGCTCCCGTGGAGGACAAGATGAGGGAGTTGAGGCTGAGATGGTTCGGGCACGTGCAGAGGAAGAGTACAGATGCCCCTGTTAGGAGGTGTGAGAGGCTGGCCGTGGCGGGTCTGAGAAGGGGTAGAGGAAGGCCGAAGAAGTATTGGGGAGAGGTGATTAGGCAAGATATCGTGATACTTCAGCTCACTGAGGACATGATCCAGGATAGAAGGGTGTGGAGGTCGAAGATTAGGGTAGTTGGCTAGTAGGTAATCGAGAGTTCCTCGTTCTTTTTTAGTAGTATCAGTAGCTCCCTTGTTTTTTTGGTTCACTCTGTATATCGTATGTTCTAGTTTGCTATTGTTTGATGCTATTCTCTGTTACTGGTTTTGTTGTTGTTGTTGTTGTTGTTGTTGTTGTTACTGTTGTTATCATAGTTGTCTTTCTCCCCTTTTCCTTGTCGTCCTTCGTCCCTCCATTTTTTCTTTCTTCTTACTCTTTCTCCTTCGTCTTCTTCCTTTCTCTCTTTTCACCTTTTCTTGAGCCGAGGGTCTATTGGAAACAGTCTCTCTACCTCGCCAGGTAGGGGTAAGGTCTGTGTACACACTACCCTCCCCAAATCCCACTTGTGGAATTATACTGGGTATGTTGTTGTTGTTGTTTATTATAAAGAAATACATAAACCTTACTTTTGTTAATTGCGATATACATATTTTAGTAACAATGGATCGGGTCTGGGCACTGAATTCAGCCGAATTTGAGCCCAATTCGTCTGAACTTAGCCCAATCCCTTCAACCCCTCTATAATTAAACTATTAAAAACACTAAATTGTTTAATTAATTGTACAACTAGTTAATTAATGAGCTGATTAGATACTAAATCTACCCTAACTATGGAAAATAAAGAATAACCTTTGATTTGTTTTGTAAATTAAGAAATGCAAATACAAATGCAAGAATAAGAAAAGGAGTATTTTTTATATTTTTTTGAAATAAAATGCACACAAATATGAAAAACAAATTAATTAAAAATAAACTAATTTTTTGAAAATTGACTTCTTTAGAAAATTTAAAGGGTGCAAAAATTAGGTATTCAAACACAACCAACTGTTACTATGCAAAAAACTTGAAAGAACTCTTAGGTGATTTCTACTTGAAAACCCCCATCAGGGTTCTCAACTAGCTCAATCGGGACGAATTTTGATCAAACATTTGGACTTTGGAATTTTTACATTCCTATACACTATATAAAACTATATTACCCTCCCTACTCAAGTTTTACTATAATTACATTTTATATACCCAATTACCATTTATGCACATTTTAAGGGAATTAATGATATTAATTAGTGTCCTAAAATAACTCTACCGTATATTCCCACTCCCCCCACGTTTCTCTCTCCACATCCCACCCCCCTCACCGACGTATCTTGCACTCACCCTCGATTTTCTCTTCACAAATCTCAGAAATCCTCCATTAACGCCTATTTCATCTCTTCTTCAAAAACCAGACGAAATTTTTACTCTTATTCAAAATTCCTACCTCCATTAACGTCTCTGATTAGCTTGATTTTCAATGAAGAAGAAGATATCTTCAAAGAACAACCCTACAAAAGACAAAGGAGCAGATATTCCTTCATTTGATTTGGGTGTTTTCTCAGCAAATTCACCCAAAAAGGCTTCAAAATCAGCTCATGCAAAAGAAGAGAACAAGTCCAAGCTTTCCCCTTGTGAAGCTAGGGCAGAACTCGAACAAAGCAGAAGCACGATATTGATGCTGGTGAATCTTCGATACCTGTCAAATCTGCGAAAAGGAAAGGCAAAGAGATTGATTTCGATTATGATTTCTGTCACGACCCGAATTTTCCACCGTCGGGACCGTGATGGCGCCTCACATCGTACTAGGCAAGCCAACGTTACAGTTATACTCACCTTTTTCCTTTATATTTTTCATAATTAAGATTAAATAAAGCTGATTCAACAGAAATAAAAGTGGAAATACATATTTAACTAATTGGCCTTATACTATTAACCAATCCTAAATAGTTACCACCCAGAAACTGGTGTCACAACTCACAAACGTTCTATGAATAGCTACAAACATGGGTTTGAAAGAAAAATACATATGTCTCGAAGAAAGTAAAACAGAAATGAAGTAAACATAGGAGGGGACGCCAGGGCCTACAGGCGCCTGCAGGACTACCTTTGGTCTCCTGAATGCAGTATCAGTACAACCGACCCCATGTACTGGTAAGTGCCGAGCCTAACCTCGACAAAGTAGTGTCGGGCTATGGCGGGGCATAACAACATATATCCTGCAACAATTTACACTAAGACAGAAAGGAAATACAGAATGAAATATAACAGTAACTTGCATTAAATAAATACAGGACCCAGTCGTTCTACCAATACTCAGCTATAACCAGTCCTTAAGAGAGTTTCAACACCACAATAACGAATCTCAGCAGAAGAAGAATACATAAATAACAATTGATGCGGCGCGCATCCCGGTCCCACCATGTAATCAATAACAAAATGAACATTCATCCTTATTACTCCTTGTTGCGGCGTGCAACCCGATCCACCAGTCCACCCTTATTACTCCTCAATATATCACCCTTATTCCTCTTGTTGCGGCGTGCAACCCGATCCCACCTGTCCACCCTTATTACTCCTTGTTGTGGCGTGCAACCCGATCCCACCAGACAATCACATTTCACCCTTATTCCTCATGTTGCGGCGTGCAACCCGATCCCACTATATCAGTACCAATCACAACATAAAAACAAGTGTTTCACAAGTTAACTCAAATCCTCCACCACATCAATTACCTCAAACCAAAACAACGGAAGATCACTACAATTATGAAACTTCATTAGTTAATACTGCACAGCGAGACCAACCAAAGTGTTCCATGAAGCACCAATAAACCAACATAAACCATCAGTGTGATATAATGAAACTACGGAACAATTAATAACGTCAATAGAGAAACAAAATTTAACAAGAAGCAATTAGACATGGAAGCATCAATGAGCAAGTAGCAATTAAGACAGGAAAGCAATATACTTTAGGAAACGGGGAAGGGAAACAGGCTAAACAGGTAATTTTGCGACGCATAGGTGTTCGTCACCACA